ACTTCTAGATAGAGAGACCAACTTGAACCACCATTATTTTTCAAAGTGGGCGAAAGCATAAAAACTTTACGAGTACACTAAAATCTTTTTTTATAGAGAATGAGACATCTCACGTAGCTTCCATCTACTTACCTATGTTATGTGTACTAGGTTAAAATAGTTATGAGAAACAACTCTTTTGTCTTTTTTTTTTACTTTTTTGAGGTTTGTCCGCATATTTTATTTTATTTTAATATTTAACTTTTCTTTGGTCTGTTCCTGTTTGATGCAAAATGTAGATTACACAGTATGTATGGTTCACATAAAATGTATTTGTAAAAATGCTTTGAGCTAATCCATGATGTAACACTTAAAAAAGATTATCCGCCAAATATACACAGTCCAAATCTGCCCAATATTTGAAATGGTCAGGGAGAGATGCTTTTAGTTTAAAAGGTGTGAATATGGGCATGGCTATTCCAGGATATTGTAAGTGATTTCTTGAGTGATATTCATTAAGATAAATGACAATGTAATTTAGAAAACAAGATCTGTGATCTGCATATATTGCTTACATAGACTAATTTCTTAATACATGTCTTGTAGTTTAAAGATATATTGCTGTTATTTTTTTTGCTCTGAAGCCCAGGTATTCATCCCAAAAATTTGGAACTTCTAAAGTAGAAGAAATAAAGAAAATAAAGCTTTGGGTCCAAAACTGGGGCTGGCCCTTTTAAATAGGGACACTAGGGAAGTATATTTCTAAATGTATCAAAACCATATCCAGTGTCTGACCAATGTGAATTGAAATTGTTATTCCAGGCACCATGACAACATTACTGATTTGAAGTGGTCATGGTGCCTGGAGTCTATGTGTACAGTGTCTCACTTTCACATACACTGCACATACTGAGTTTCACCCCTCTGCTGCCAGAAGTATAACTCCACTTCTGGCATCGTCTTTAGGGTGTCATCAGCCAGCCTTGAACTAGAATTCTGTGCTGACTAATGTTAAATCTGTGCAAATGTTGATGCACAGAATCTAATTCATTGGCTGAGATTGTTTAGCCAATGCTTTCTGCCAATGAATGAGTGGCAAAATCAGCATCCGGCTTCTACCGGATCCAGAAATCCTGCTTTAATAGAGACCTGACACCCAGCAGGAACCCAGGCAAGAGGGAAAACCATTGTACAGTTTGCCCTACTACCTGGAAATGGTACCAGGGTACTCGTCTCATCATCATCAGTGATGGTTGGAGTAAGACTTTAATACCCTTTGAGAAAATGGTGCTAGAGCACAGTATTAATGCAGTACCTAGCTAGAATTTGTTGCTAGTCTTATCTGAATAAACCGTCCTAGTACACAACAAGCGAGTGCTTAGGATGCACACTTTGCAGTGTCTGGTTTGTGCCTAAAGTTTCATTCAGAGTTCTCGTACTGTCTGTGCACATCTTTTAGTAACCGTTGCATAAAAATAAATAAATGAAGTACTTGAGTCTTATAATTATATCACAGCAGCTATCAATGTATACCAATTATACTGTGATCAAACTAACAACTGGTGTGTCATTTATCACAGATCCCCAGCTGAAAATCCTAGGGTAAAACCTCACGTCTGCTTTCTCAATTAAAAAAAATCCTGGTGTCTTTGTTTTGCAGATGGGCAAATTACCTAACAAATCTCTAAAAGATAGAGAGAGAGAGAGCAGACTCACTCAGGCTGCAAGGTATCATTTCTGAATATGTTTGATTACCATCTATTATAGCATACATATTTAAATAAATCTGCCCGTGTGTGTATTTATATACATATATTTATATTTTCTCTCTTAAGAAATCTAATGCCGCTTGCAATCCTATATTCTGTAAGCACCCCCGGAGAGGGGATTTATACTAGACCACTGATGTAAAACAGGTGCATGACAAGTGTATGAAAGATTAGATTTATTAAAGATAAATATGATTGCCTCAGCAACGCATGCTATTTATAAATAGCATGATGCAAAATTAATATCACATTTTATCTGGGACAGGAAAACAGTCATTTAAATCTTGAAGTAGGCCTGCAGGGGTTAAAGGGCTCTGCCTGGATTCATCTATAGAAATCAAACCATTTATAGTTTTATAGCTTTATAAGCGTATAGTTGCTGTTGTATTTCATTAGCCCCAATAATAAGTAGCAGAGCAGTCTTCTAATATAAGATCAGTATTAATAAATATTTAAACAGAATGGACGCAGGACACCTATTTATTGGAAAAACACAGTGGCCCTTGTATGAATTACTCCACCACATCACTATTCAAAAAAGGAATACTGAAATAATATACAATAGCTATAGGTCACCCAATTGACCTCAATGCCAATGTATTAGAAGGGCATTATCTGCACTATAACAATCTATGCTCCTTATTGAGGTTAGGATACAAGTCTCTGCACATGTTTGTGTTTTACAAAAATTACTGAAATTACCGCTTTACTATTTTAGAAAGAGGATATTTGAGATCAAGAAAGATCAAGAAACATTATCCTAGGGGTGTTCCCTATAAGCTTTATTTTGGGAGTGATCCAATGCCGAAATAGCTAACTGAGACATATAGGAGTCTCCCCTGGAATTCAGCAGATACTCCCTTCGCTATAGCATTAACATTATTCATTCCTATTTAAAGTTCTGCAGAAAAACCTTTACTTTTTTTTTTGTCATCATTCTCCTTGTGCTGAAACGGATTTTGACCTGAATAGGCTCAATTTAACAATATAATCCCGCGACTCAAAATCTAGCAAACTGTTGTTAATTAGATTTTCCTCTTTGCAAAATCAGTAATCCATGATATAAATTGCTTTTGTATGTGATTCGGGTAATGTATGTCCTAAACATAACTACTCCTGAAATGAGAAGGTATTAAAAGATGAGATCACGATCGGCTTCATTTGTTTTTAATCTTGTCATGTTCATAATGCCTCCATCTTCAAAATCCATCGTCGATGGGAGATTTGCATTGATATCTCATTAGTTGCTCAAAGCTAATCCCATTGTTGTGTAGATTTACTATTGCCATGTAACTGGGTTCCTTCTATCCCTTGCAATTATTTGGAGGATTGTATTTAGGAAATGTAACAGGAAGATAGCTTTTAAATCATTAGCACCAATTAATTGGAAAGCCCTGGAATGTCTCTGGAGATGATCAGTTGTTTAAACAGACAGAAGATCTTAATATATAACTCCACATTGCGCTGTATCTTTATTTGTGTGAGAGAAAAAATACTCTTGATCACGTTCTGTGTACCCTTGTGTGGTACAGAGGCGGCAGTATCCTGATATGGTTGGTGTATAATGATATATATTCAAATCAAGGCTAAAATGTTTTCATGGGTCACCAAGTATTGCTGGGAATTGGACTTATTATAATATATATAGCTCAGTGGTTAGTGCTATAAAATGTCTAACTTCTAATCAAATCACAACGCTATGACAAGTCAACTCAGACTTTTAGCCTTCTGACAATAAAATAAACACACCCAGCTGGGAAATAATAAAATCTGTACCCCATACTTCTGTATGCCGCCCTCTCACTGCTCCGAAAGAATGCTTTAAGAATGGTTTAACACTTGCAGGGTTATTTACAAACATGAGAATTCATTGTGGATTTCACATACAAGGTCAAAATTGTTGAACCGGAAAAAAAAACCTTTAAATCCAGCTACTCTGGCCTTAAATTTTATACATTGAATATATATTATATGTCTTACTCAACTTCTGACAATGATACCCTTAACCTTGCCTGCTATTCTTACAACAATTTTATATTCCTGCTGAATTCCGAGTTCCCCATTCTGTCTGCATTGTCCCACAATCCCTCTTTGATTCTAACTACCAGTCGTGTCCTGTGTTCTTTTAAATAAGTGATATGTTTAAAAGATACATTACAATTATTTTGATTCTATATTTATGTATGACAGCAGCTTAAAAAGATGCAATGAACGGCACAGTCGGATGGTGTAGTAAATCACATTGGTTTAATAATCACATTAAATGGCCTGGCAGTCAATGATGGTGTATAAATTAGCACAGTGCCTCACCCATAAAGTTTAATAGTGTATCTATGCTCCCAGCCACCGATAGTCTTGTAATCCTGAGAGGTCTCAATGAAGCTTTGACTTGATATAATTAATATAACATGCTGAGCACTGAGGTTGGCTCACCTTGCTTCTACCAATTTAGAGACATCCATCTGTGCAAGGTTTCTAAGCACAACACAAGCTGAGCCTCCCAGCATCCAATCACTAAATAAAACTCATTACATGAAAATCCACTTTAGTTATTTTGTTTAGTATATGTTTGTGGTTTGTCTTTTCTTTTTAAAAAAAAACTTTTTGCAAGTGATACATTACAACCTCCATCAGGAGTTCTTGTTTCTTTTTTCATTGCAGAGCATATTGGCAAAAATCTAACGTAATTAAAATAAAATGTATAGAACATAATAAAACAAAACAGAACAGTTGCTTCAGGCCTTGGTAGTGCCAGAGTTAGAGAGAGTTCATGACACTAATGTGGATGAAGCATCTCCTCTTCGGGCCACCGGCACGAATGGGCGAACTCTCGCCGGGTCCCAAGTTGTGGAAGTTATCAGCGTTACCGGATCGAGTTTCTGTCGTGTGTCTGGTATGTCGGCAGCCTTTTGCACCTTCAGGTTACCAGTGTCCTATGAGATGATCAGGCATCTAGGCCTGCCCCACTGGTAGGGTATGTTGTGGGCTAAGAGTTCCTTGGTCAGGGGTCGTAGTGATCTGCGTCAGTCCATTGTGTCCCTGGACAGGTCTGGGTAAAAGGTAAAGTCATGACCCTCAAAGTACAGAGGAGATTTGTTGCGCGTAGCCACCATGAAGGCCATGCAGTCTTGGCCCAGCTGGAAGAGTATGATTACATCCCTTCCCTTACCTGGGGTAAGTATGTTCAGCCCAAGAAGCCTGTATCTTCCATCCAACCGCATAGGTTTTGCTTGTTTAGCAGTGAAAGGTGCGCTAAATAGTCTGCGGAACAGATGTGGTATATAGTCTCCGGCACTTTAAATTTTTCCAGCGCCTTTTATCTTCCTGGGATGCCATACTTTCCCTGGTTTGTGTCTGGGCCATCTGGAGTGCCGTAAGTTGCTGTTCTACCTTCGTTAGTCTTGTCTCATGGGTGGCAGCGGTGATCTCCGTGTTTTGCAAGCCTGTCGACACTCCACTGATTTCCTCCCGGAACAAGCCAATGCCAGCTGCAATATTTCGGCACAGCTCATCCAGCATGTCTCTCAGTTTCTCCTCTGATAGCTGAGATTTCTCTACTCGGTGAGCACGTACGTGTGCGGGTCTAGTTGGGGCCCTAGTATCATAGTCCCCTGGGTCAGAGATAGACCTATCACTTGATGAGTGTTACAAGTCCTCTGTCAGCGACACCATTGCGGCCCTCTGGTAGTTTGGAGGCCTCCGCAGAAGATCGCCGATATCAGCGATAGTCTGATATTGGTCGATCTTATGCGGGGGTTTATCCTGTTTGTATTTCTTGCTGCGGCGCCCCATATGTTCAGGCAGGTTTCCCGCAGTAATTTACTCGGAAATGTTTGTATTTTTCTTTGTTTTTGGGTGATTTTGCCAGTTTTTGCTCGTAGCTCTGCAGAGATGCGTCCTCTCAGTATGGCTGCAAACTGTGACCCCAGTCCAGTACGATCTATCTGCTCTACAATGTTAGAATAATGGTGGTTACAGTCATACCGGCCATCCCATAGCGCTTATTAACTGCCCCCTCTCTATATCACTTGAAATGCTGCATTAACACTTTTTCGTTGTCAACATCCATTCCTTTGAAATTGGACAGAGGTGATTGGCTGAGAGCAGGTTAGCCTACTGCTCGTAACCCAATGCCACAACCCAATGGGAATTTGTTCGTTTATCTCTCACTTATGTTGTGCTTCCAGCGTTTTTTATATTGATCAGATTTGTAACACTCCAAAAAAAAAAAATCACTGCACATCTCTTGATCCTCTCAGTGTGATGAAAACGGTTATTAACATAAATAACTGTGGCTACTAACATAGCATGTAATAACATGAAGATGGACAATCACCAAAAACAAGTTCAAATAAATCAATAGAGCATGTATCATTTTGTCTGAACTTGTCAAGATGAATTTGCATCAAACTCAGCATAATTTTTAGCGTTATATAAATTAATGTTAATAATAAGAGCAGAGCATTACATTTTGTCTACGTATTGTCTTAAGAAAAATACAAACGGTTCAGCAGTTTCTAATATTTTTCTATGTAATTGATTGACCCTGCTGACATCTAATTGATTTATTCTAATGGAATATGCAATTATTATCAGTAGTGTCAGAAATCTCAGACAGGAGGCTTACAATCTAAAAATTAGGAATGGGCCTAAGCTTCCTTCAATTTTCCTATTCATGCAAAAATATCTAAAAATTAAAGGAAGTGAGCAGGCAATCGGGAGTCGTTCTGGAAAATATTAAGGTCTGAGGCGGGCATTGGAAAAGAAAATGCATTACCGGACAAATCTTAAAGGATTTTAAACTATTAGCATAATACATAGAAGCCGAGGTGATACATGGAAGGATCCTGCCACTAGCTAATGCTTACACATGTAGTGGGAGGAGCTTGTCACAGGACATTGAAGTCACCGTCTAGACAGATCGGAATGGTGCTGTTGGTTTAGATCATGGACTCTATTAAGAGGTAAGGGCATGTGGGGAGGTGTGACTAACTTTTCAGTATTTTGTTAAAAACACATTTAATTGAAATTCTGACACATGTGAAAAATACCAAAATACAAAGTAAGGACTACTTTGTCTCATGGACAAGCTTGACATTGACAAGAGGCTTACCTCCACCATCAACTCTTGTTCTGTTCCCAACAGCTGTTACATGTGACTGTGGTTGTCTTCAGGCATCGATCTACAGAGGCTCCACCGGTCTTGTGGGATTCTCCATAGACTTTAATGATGTACTTGAGCATATGCGCTGACATGGCTCCTGGCAAATTGAGTGTCAGGAGCTGAAGAATACCCACCAGGAAGACGATGGCGGCAGCTTCAGAAAAGTAAAACCTATCTTCTCCTGGATGCACCGAACCCATGTGGAATCTGTCACTTTTGTGGGGTCTTTTGCATATTAAGGCCTCCAAAAGCGATAGATCCACTTTAAGGAAGAAACAAGGCTATGTTGGGTTATAGCGGGGGCAGTTGACAGAAATAGGAGAGTGTAGAAATACTCAAGATGAGCTTCAAGAAACAAGGAGAGAGACTTTAAGTAATGGTGTGGGGGGAGGATAAGTGTTCTAATCTGCACCAATGCAAATCCCCACATGCCCCAAAAGGGTAAAGATAGCTATAATTTATAACTATATCCTCTTGAACAATAGTGGTGTAAATCTCCCCAAAAAGGATAAATTGCACTTATGAAGAACTAGCAGTTGCCGAGTGGTATAATCATTACTTCCTTGTTCATTTTTATTTATAAGGAGGGTTTTAAATATTTAAAAAGGTTATTGTGATGTTACGGCAGTGAAGCATTTACTGATTTTTCAATTCATCAGCATTCAATAAGCACAAACACTTTGACGGCAAACCGCACTCTGAACTTTTCTTTAAGAAAAACAGCATTATGAGTTGGCAATCTCTGCAAATGAATGTAATCGACTTAAAATTCATTGATAAAGATAGATGGCAATGGTTAGGAGCTCTGACACAACAAAGTTACAGTGTCATTAAAACAATGAGGAAGACACAAATCCATTATAAAGATACAATCAAATATTTAAAAAAAGCCAGGCCTGCTCATTATTTATTCATGCACATACCAGGAACCTAAGAAATCTGAGCTAGTTTAGTACTCAATCATTCACAAACCAAATGAGTGTTTGCATTTATCAGCATGTATAGTCACACAGTCTTAAAGTGGCATTTGCCCAGTAATGGTGGTTAAGCGACCTAAAATGCATTTACATCACAAGAAAGAGGGCACGACGCTATAGGATTTATCAAAACGTGTACTATGTGTTTGTGTGCAGTGAAGGGTTTGGATTTTTGATAGGGGTGTAAGCATTCCTTGCGCTTTCCCTATGTTTACAGGAAACCATTATCGAGCTGGTCGGAGCAGAGATGCATTGGATGTAACCTAATGGAATTCCAAACTTTCATTTTTCTCCTTTCACATACCTGCCAAGGGTCCTGGATCCAGCATGACTGTTTCCATTTCAGGCTACGATCTCTCTCTCCCAAGCTGGTTCCCAGGTGTTTGGCAATTGGGGACACTGGGGTACCGTCCCAACAAGTACATCAAAAGGCGTGCACATGCTGAATTGCATGATGTCAGTGCTTTGTGCTTGGTCTGTCCTGTGTGGGGCCGGACAGGGAGGCTGTCAGTCATACTGGCGAGTGATCTTCAATGAATAATCTTTAAAAATTATTATTATTATTATTATTATTATTATTCTCATAATCATTGAAAACACTTTTTTCAACATGCCAATAATGTTGAAAATGTAATGTTTGTTTTTGTGCAGGAGGATAAGAAACAACACAAGTACTTCCTATGAGTTATTGACACATGGAAGCATTGTCTCCAGACTTATATTAACAATTCTTGGTTAAAGCAAGTTAGCACTCAACAATATAACATAGCAAACTCAATAACAAAACAAATGCACATGTACACTTTACCCCAAATGTCCGATTTAAACAAACTTAACAAATCATATATGAATATCAATGTTGACACACCTGTTACCATAACCACTGCCTTACAGAGAGGTCTAGTAGGCAGATCCGATCTTTCCAAGATGGATCCCTTTTCTTGCTATTAACTTTGCAATCTTAGAGTATCAATTTCTAGATTGAGCAATTAGCAAAGGTGACAGAATTTAAAGGACCACGCTTAATGAAGTGGTCTGGGTGCCAGGTTCCTCTAGGATTAACACTTTTTAGCTTACATTAGGGTTAATCCAGCCTCTAGTGGCTGTCTCATTGACAGCCGCTAGAGGCGCTTCCCCGCTTCTCACTGTGATTTTCACAGTGAGAAGACGCCAGCGTCCATTAGGAAAGCATGCGCATTCAGCCGATGACGGGAAAAGAGGAGGAGAGTCCCCAGCGCCGAGGGAGCCCGGCGCTGGAAAAAAGGTAAGGGATTAACCCCTTTGTCCCCTGTCAGCCCGGCGGGAGGGGGACCCAGAGGGTGAGGGGGACCCAAGGACCCTATGGACGAGTATGTTTTCCTGTCACTATAGTGGTCCTTTAAGTCCGGTTTTAAATCAATTGCTGCCTCTTTAGTTTAACTTCACTAAGCTAAACAAACCAGTAAGTAATTGACAGTCATGTAGGTGTAACAAGATCAGTTTGTAAAAGTGTAAATTTCTATTGAAATCTTAAATTTTTGTAAAATGAAAAAAAGAGGACACACTCTTCACACATAAAGCACTCTAGCAAGTGCTTTAGGGGTCTGGACTGTCCCTTTATGTATGGAAACATTGGGTTCTTTCATTTGCATGAGTCATTCAGGTCAGTCTTGGGAGAGTCATATTTATTTTACATTATTATCTTTTATTTATACATACTCTACATTTTTACACAAGCTATCTGTCTCAGTATTGCAGCATGTCAAATAACAAATCTCTAGGCTACATGTAATCTCTCGCAACGCGGGTATGTGACACTTTACCAAAATGTTTCCTGCAGCTTTGATATTTCAAAAAATATAATAATCATAGTACGATGTATTTTTTTTACATATATTAACACTGTGTATTTATCTCTTAAACAGCTCGCATTAACTAACTTTCATCCTTCTATACCGCATATCCCACAAACAGAATTAACAGACAAAGTAGCCACTAACTCACTCTTGGCCATGTAACGTTGGAAATCTGCACAAATTAATCTATTTCATGTAAAAGCTGTATTTTACAACTTTTTTAGGTAGTCGACAATTTCAAGATGGTAAGTAAATATTTATTAAAGGACCACTATAGTGCCAGGAAAACATACTCGTTTTCCTGGCACTAAAGTGCCCTGAGGGTGCCCCCACCCTCAGGGACCCCCTCCCGCCGGGCTGGATGGCGAAGAAAGGGGTTAATCTTACCTTTATTCCAGCGCCGGGCGGGGAGCTCTCCTCCTCCGATCCTCCTCTTTGGCTGAATGCGCATGCGCGGCAGGAGCTGCGCGCGCATTCAGCCGGTCTCATAGGAAAGCATTCATAATGCTTTCCTATGGACGCTTGCGTCTTCTCACTGTGATTTTCACAGTGAGAAGCACGCAAACGCCTCTAGCGGTTGTCAATGAGACAGCCACTAGAGGCTTTAGAGGCTGGATTAACCCATTTAAAAAACAGCAGTTTCTCTGAAACT